TTTAGAAATGTACAAGAGATATTTTAATAAATGTAATTATTTATTTTATATTATATTCTTTATTGTAACATGCCATAAATTTATTAATATTATAAAGGAATAAAATTCTTGTCAATGGCTTGCATTTTGGCAGATACAAATAAATTACATAAAGCTGGCTATACCTTAAAAAAATGACAATTTTACATTTACATCTGATGAATTTTGAACTAATGTAATAACCATGCGACATATGTAAATATATACATTTAGAAACAAGTTTAAATATTTTTTAAATGCTATCATGTTACAATCAAAACACTGATTAAAAATATTGAAAAATATAATATTAACTTGTATGTCACATGCAATCTTTAATTATTTAAAATTATGCAACACTTTCTACAATATGTTTTTATATATTATATACATGTTTGTACATATATATATATATGTAAAAACACACACACACACACACACACACACACACACACAGTCACACGGGTATTCTAATGTTCATTTTATAAATAGACAAAATGGCAAAAAATTCTGAAATTATATTTTGTTTAATAAAATAATCATATATTATAATATAATACGAATTCATCTTTTAAGAAAGGAAGACAAGGAAAACGAAAAAAAAAGTGTGAAAGGGAACTATTGTACGTTATTAGTAATCGAATTATATAAAAAAAAGTAAAATTATATTATTGAATATATTATATGCCGAATAAAGTATTCCAAAATATGTTAATATTACCTACGAATAAAATACATATTCTTTTAATTGATACTTAATTGCTTTTTTCACTTTATAAGAATATATGGGATAGAGCCACCATTTATGTATGTGCAAGATATGGGATATATCAGTGTTTCTCAAACGTTGGCAGGCCAAGATCCGGCGTTCATTAGAATAGATAAATAATAAGATTAAGAACCTACGTAATGTGTAAATAACAGAAAATGAAATCGGGAACCGATCACAGCTACACGTATATATTGTTGGCTACCTCATCAATTACGCAAAATCTGACTACACAGCACATAATGGAGAAAGATATAAATAATTGTTTTATATCAGTGAATTTGAAGCACATGGATTTCCGTGAATATACTACACAACGCTGAAGCATGCACGTTTAAAGTGTAAATTCATTTCCGTTCGAAAAATAATTGTGTATTTTGTCATACAGTAAGCTAAACTTAATTCTAAACCACGCTGCTGTGATCTCACCTTGAATTTGTTTTCACTCCTGCCTCAAAGTCTGAGACACGCTGATATATAAAGTTTGAAGATCTAAATTTGCTGAAATGAGAATGGTGTAACTCAGTGAAAACTCATTATAAGATGGCCCTATCCTATGTCCCTGCCATTCTGTCTGTTTGCTCTTGATTAATGCATGCAGACACTTGCGTATAAAGTTTGTCTTTCAACTTTATTTGCTCAAACATTTACATGAAATCTCATCGCGAATCCTTTTTTATACATATGCATACGCATATACACCCACACTCACACTAACACATATATTCATTATGTGCGTGCTCGCACGCACGTACGCATGCACGTATACGCTTTATTAAAATACATACCGAATAAGATTGTTATTGAGTTACTTTAATATTTAATATGTAGAGTATCATATTTATATCAGGATTTTTCCCAACAATAAATTAAGTTTGAATTTATGTGTGTGTGTGTGTGTGTGTGTGTGTGTGTGTGTGTGTGTGTGTGTGTGTGTGTGTGTACATACAAAATACACATACACGTTATAATAGTAATATTATAAAATATAGCGAATGAGTGTATGTGCGAATGTCTATCCATATATTTTGGATATAAATTTTTCTGTAAATTTTATGTTCTGAAATATTTCTCTAAATCTACAATACTTTTGTACATTACAACTATTTATTTACTTTCCTGATTTTACATATCTTTACATATTTTGAGTAAAATGTTTATATTTCATATGTTAATAATTTTTTTCTTTATCTTGAGATGCATTTTATTCTATTATGTGTTAAGACGACGAGTTATACTAAAGTAATAAAAGATCAAAGGCAGCTTAAATTCAAGAAGTAAACAGAATATTTATATAGTTTTATCATACATAATACATTTTGATATATTCTATCTGAAAGAATTTATCAATTATTATATACTTTGCAAACTATAGAATACTTTGCACTTAAGATAGCATTTCCGCTTTAATATAAATGTCGTAATAAAACAATCAGTAACGAATGTGTCTGCAATGCATATGATCATGCTTAGAATCTAATAGTTTTAAAACGAAAGGTATCTGCTATTATGGAAAGGTTGAATGAATCGTAGTGCACATGATACTTTTTCTTACTTGCACCTATTCTGTTATAATAGAAGAGAAATTTGAATAGTTATATAAAGTTTAAAAAATGTTAAATTTGTTGAATAATCTATCTATAATATTGTAAATTTGTAACAGAGATAAAAGAAAGAAAAGGAAAAAAGAAAAAAAAATCAAAGATGAACGATAAACACTACTATGATGTGCCTGTGTAATCGCATACATGAGGTTACGTGATACTAAAGCGCACATATCAATTGATGATTAGAAATCTTGTGATCTGATTTTCTGCCAGTAAATGCAAACCACAGACAGGATGGTAACCAGGACAGTACATGGACAAGAGCAGGTAAACAATCTCACAAGATTTTTTTTTATTATTTACAAAAACCAAAAAAATGTTAATAACTTACCCCCCTATTGTTTGAAGCTTAGTGGATTCAAGTTGACGGGCTGCTTCTTCCGTTCTCTTTAACAGTAAAACCTGTGAAATATTAATAAAAAGAAACGTATAATTAAATATTTTTATAGAGATATTTGAGCTATCGTGTAGATAATAAGACTTAAAAAAGAATGCAAGAAATGCATCTTTAAAAAAAGAATTTCCAACAATTTGTTAAATAGTCTATACCATATACTATACATATGTGCATATTTCTAAATTGCATATTTCTATATTTCTCAATAATTATTAAAGTTACACATTTCTCTCATAAATAACTTCTCACATAAATAACTTTATTAATAATATAAAAAAAATTTACCTTTTGCGATAAGTTTCTAAAGTGCATTTCTTGGAGCATGCTACTGTGACGATGTATATTTTCATGACGGGAGATGGCCAGCAGTACTCCTCGTTCAGGCACATATCGGCACACTGCCGCCCCTATCGCCTTTTGAAATTCTTTATGTGCATTGTCCATCTTCGCACTGCAATATAACATTCTTAACTTAATTACTTCTTAATACTATCTAAGACAAATTTTGAGTAAAAAGTTATATATAATCCCTATATCTATAATTAATTATAGATACAAAAGTAAATATAGATATTATTTATATGCAACAAATTATTAGTTATTACTTTTTCTTTTTTAGAAACACTTTTACTTACAATTCTCTCAGCTCTTCAGGTACTTCAATTTCGATCTTGTGAAATGTGTTTTTGTCAATAGGGGGATTTGGATTTTTGGCTCTCAGTCGCTCACTAGCTACAATTTCAGTATATGTGTATTCCCATCCCAAGTATTCGACTACTTGAAAACCTCCTTTACTCATCTAAGAAAAATCATATAAAAGATAAAGAAAATCATTAAAAAATAAAGATTGATTTTTGAGATTTTTTTTTTATTGTTGGAGAAGAGGAAGAAATAATAATTGTGCTAATTTGTGCTTTTAGCAATTGCATTATATAAGCATGTATCAAACTTTCCAATCAAGTATATATACAAGGTATTAAGCCTCGTGTTCACAATGAATTCACATTAGAAATTGCTGAGATTTTGGACAGAGAAAGAATTAACAAATCACATTTGAACAATTTAATCACATCAATGTGATTGGTTAATTCTTTCTTCATCTGAGATCTCGGATGAACAAATTTCTAATATGGACACAAGGCTTTAATAATTAGCATAAGTACTATATCGGCCATCTATATATTTATCAAAGTATTATATTGCTTACCTTAATAAGTGCTTTCCACCAACCCCATGCTTCTTGATCGTTAGATCTAGAGAATACTTCGATCTCCTGGTTTTCCTGAAATTCTGTTTTGGAACCATCTTTTGGAGGTAGACGGACTTGAGCAAATGGGAATTTCGATTCGGGTTGCCAGCTGAAATACGCATTATACGTTCGATTAGATCGAGTTGTACAATTATGTATATATATATTTCACACATAACATCTATGTGTAACAAAATAGTGAAAAAAAAATTTATTTGAAAGTTTTATTATAGGATAAGAGTAAAATTCTCAGATAAATATTATAATTATAATGTTATATTATAAAAACAGTAAGAAGAGTGTACATGTGTACATTTAAACAATACATAACTTTTAAGTTATTTACCAGAATACAAAATAAAAAAATTATAGATTATTTATACGTTATATATGTCTTATTTCCATATCACTTATTTCATTGTTCTATAATTTAACAATAAACTTTCCATTATTTTAGCCTGTTATTAAAGTTTGCCTCTTCTTTTATTTCACGTATGTCTGTCTTTCCCGTTAATATATTTTGTTAATATGTAACACAAAAGAGGAAGAAAAATTATTATCTAATATTTTGTATAATCAATAAATAATATAATTGTAAATAGAAGTATATATATATATATATGTATATATATATATATACACATACATACATATGCAATGTAACAAAATAAAAATATATATCACTCTAACACTATAGATTAAGAAATGATAGAATGAACCAATAAATTCATATGAATCTTTATTATTCTACAGTGAGAAACAAGTGAGACGAGAATAAGAAGTTATGGCAAATCATAAAGTTATCTAGCATAATGTCCACAGATGTGATACATTGTTGTTGTTGTACAAAACATCACATCAAGACGTAAAAAAATGCACGTTCTTGTCAAACATGGTGAGTCGTGAGAAAAACTTACTCATTCTCAAAAGTTACCAAAACTTCGTCGTCAAAGACATCGGTGACAAAGGCCTGAAAAAAGTTATACACGAAACATGTAGTAAGTCGTCTTTGTAGGAATCAGGAGTGTAGCGAGTAGCGCAGGCCAGTTGAACGTAAAATCGCGACTCGTCGGAGTGAAGGGGGAAGACGGGCGAGGTAGAAGGAGGGTGCAGGGAGGGCGATTGTGAGCGTTTACGGGTCCGCATGTCGTAAATTTGGAATAATGCTAAATTGATGAGTTGATGATAGCACCGCGAACGCAAATGCACAACGACGCGAGGCAAGAGAAAATCACGCCCTGTCAAACGAGACATGGCGTCGAGGGAAGCCGCGTTACCTCGCGAACATTTGAGGGCCGTGCATTCGCGAAGTACGGGCTTTTGTCCCGCGAGATTACGATCGCGCCGCGGCTCGTGGCTCGGCCTATCCACTGCCCGAGGCTTCCGCCCGCTTTTTTGTATACTTTTCACAGAACGAACCTTATAATACGCTCCGTTTTCGCCGCATACTTCGACTGTGAGATCCTCCATCTTGCTTTTGTGTGACGGTTCGGCTCCTTTACGGCAGGCATGCCGAAGAGCGGGCGCCCGCACGAGTTCGGGGCTGTGAATTTCCTCTGCACCAATCGCATGGCTCTTTTCCATGACGCCGAGACAGCATTGGACAACGCCGAAATAGTATCGACAGTGGTATCAACTACTGAGCCCTACATCGACGACCCTTTCGCATCGAGCATTTAAATCGCGTACTAACTAGTAACTTTTTATTAAATTATCTCAATTTTACCAATGTATTTAAAGAATGTTGTACTAAATTAATATATACATACATTAAAATGATTAATTAAATTCTCATATTATATGTCTGTAATTTTAATTGTATTTTTATAATAGTTTTGCGATATTGAGAAGGATCCGCAGTAGGATTGAAACGTCTATTGTATATTGATTGAATAAATTCATTACATGCGTATGTACATCCAGTGTTTGGCTCTCATAGGCATAATCATTCTCTGATTTATTCTTTGGAGCCTATTAATTCTTTTTATTGTAATATATGTCCTGTACAGCCGGTTATAAAAAGTGCAATATCTATTTTTCGGATTTCAGAATGTAACTTGCTCATCGAACGATTGGTTTCTTATTTATGGATCCACAAATAAAAACTAATCGCTACTAATGTACTACTACTAATGTACTACTTAACGTCAAAATTAAGATAATTAAGATAATTTAATAGAAAGTAACTAGTTAACATCATATCAAGTGCATAATAGGTGCATCTAGGGGATCGATTCTATATCTTCAAACAAAATGAAAATTACAAAAGCGAGCAAATTTATTAGGTGTTGACCAATGAAATAATCAGTATTCTAGTAAATTCGCTCACTTTTATAATTTTCACCTCATTTCAAGATACAGAATCGATCTCCAAAAGCAGACAAGCGAAATGTATTACTACTGCGAGTTCCGATTGATTTCCGCTTTTCCGCTTTCCGCTTTTCCGTCAAGGTGTGAATCCGGCCTAACATTCTGATTCGGATTAAATTCTCGGTAGATACTAGGCCAATAAGAATCAAATATTCAGTGAACACGTTGCGTTCCGAAATTCATTGAAAAAAAAGTGTTGCAACCTTTTTGTCTCTGATTGTACACTGTTACAATTGCCCACTGCCAATCACAGCGACTTCTGCGTAAGGAGTTTTAGATTATTTTTTCTTTTAGCACTGATTGGCTTGCGCGCAATTGGATTGTGGGCAATTGCCATACACTCAATTACAGCAACTTCTGCGTAGAGAGTTTAAAAAATTTTTTTTCTCTGATTGCCTTATGCATAATTGATATACACTCTAACTTCTTAATAAATTGTTTTTCGGCAATGTGTGTAAATATATACATAATATATGTATTTAATTAATCATATTAATACATACTGTACCAATTTAATACATTATTCTTTAAATGTATTATTGAAATTAAAATTATTTAATAAAAAGTTACTAATTAATACGCTAATCATGACTTTTTTTTCCAATATGAAGAAAAAAGAAAGAAAAATGAACTGTGCAAGAATTTTAGTTAAAAAAAAACAGACTTAAGAATTCGGTAAAAAGTATTGCTTTGACCATTCCATTCTATTTTTTACTCCGGATCTACAATAGAATTTTAAGTCTTAAGTTATAAGAAATGGACGAATCATAGTCGATTATATTCCTCGAATTCGTAATTGGTTGATTTCTTACGGCTTGAAGCTTAAATCATGTAATTAAATCAAGTAAAATTATTGTAATTTCGGACTTACAATCGAATGCGAGGAGAATAATTGACCATAATTCGTTCATTTCTGTCTTATTCATCGATTTGTCGTACGACAAGCTTATCAAGCCCATTGATTGATTGCAAGACAGAGAAATCCAAAAACTAATAGTTAATAATAAGATTTAAAATAATCTGTTTTAATTTTTAATCTATTCATAGTAAGAAAAAAGTGTAGCGTGGATAATAAATTAGATTTTGAGATATTAATATATTTTTAAGTATTTTTACAAATATATATTTTGTAACGGATTTATTAAGAAATTAGAGTAGAGATGATAAAAAAGCGTTTATATTGGCCGTAAACGTATATCGTATGTCGTAATCTGTTAAAATTGACCAATCACCTTCGAGTATTTCCTTACTATCGAATGAGAAGGGAATACTTGACTGTGATTAGTCAATTCTTACAGATTACGATTCGTACAGTTACGGCTAATATAAACGCTCTTTAATGCGTGGTCTACAATGACAGTGTCAGTAATGGATGAGGCTGCAAGAGTAAGAAATTGACCAATCACAGTCGATTCTTCTCACATTCAACTGTGATTGGTCAATTTGTTATTCTTACAACCTTATCCATTACTACTACATTATAGACCACGCATAAGTTTTCAGTTTAACAATTGGCAACTCATATTTAAGCTGTGTTTCAAAATTTACTGCCAGTACTGAAAATCTATATGCATGACGTAAATTATAGATTTTCAGTAGACAGTAAATTTGGAACACATTCTTGATCAGCTGATTAAGTGGGGCTTAAAACTCTCTCTATCTCTGTCTCTTTTTCGCTTTAAAATGAAACAGAGAGAGTTTTAAGTTTCGCTTAAAGTCAAGGCTGCGTTCCACTTAACGCTTACGAACATCGTTCGTCTTTATTTAACATTTGATAAATGACAAGGATGAAATGTTTCCATGAGCGTTGTGAGCGTTAAGTAGAACGCAGCCAAAGTTAGTGCAACTGAGCTAAGGCCAATATTACATGCATCCGTTTTTTGTCGTATGACGAATTTTTCAAGCGTGTTAAAGAGCGTTTTATATTGACTGGAAGACAGAGAGGATTTCGGATCTCTTTGTTCTATAGCCAATCAACAGAGTTGAAAAGCTCAAGTCAGGCCAAGTAATCGGCATTGATGAAACTAGCCTTAAACCTAACCTAACCTGTACTGTTACAATTTTGTATTACACTTAGTATGTACAATTTTCGTCGAAACCTGTTACCTAACGCGACGCTGGTGCTGCACCAATTTTCCCAGTGGAGCAAAAAACGAATACTACAAGTTACGAGTTTGATGTTTGATCTTATTCTTTTTACTCCGTGGTGTAACTGTCGTACTGGAGCTGCTGCTGCTGCTGCAAATCTGCAAATTGAACATGACTCTGTGTAGTTCACGCGATCGCCCCTATTCGGCTACGACCTTCTTGTTTGCTGCTTATCAACGCGCGTGACGTGCGTCAACGATTCCAATGCGAAAACGAGGCAGTTTGCACGTATTATTCTCTGAGGACGACGATGTCGGGCAGCAGCGATTCCGAGGAGTTTTTCGACGCGGAGGACGATTCGTTTCATCGTTCATCGCGGTAATTGTTGCCTTTCCATCTCCGCTGATCTCCATCATACCATTATGTCATGAATAGTAAATACTCAAATGACTCGCACCTCGCGCGTATTCTTATACAGATATTATAGATGATTCATCATATGTGCTTTCGTATGCATATGTACATTGATCGATCGTTTTCTAAACGCGCGCGAATGAATTATGTCTGCAAGACTTTGCGTATACGAGCACTTGATCGACATGACATTATTTTATTTAATTTTTTTAAATATACTGTCAATGTCATACGCTCCAACTTTGGCATATAAATATAACCAGGATTTTTCCAAATCATTATTCGAGCAAC